AACATAGACATATTATCCTTAATACACAAAGTTATACAACTCAAGAACTACTCGTTTGAACTTTGGTTTAGATAGGTACATTAAAATTCTCAAAAACATATCAGCTGAATTATAAAAAGTAAAAACAGGGAGAGAGGGTTTATTTGAAAACCAGAAGTTTGTACTATCACATAATCATCATTAAGTGGTACAAAAAATATTAAGTCGGTAAACAAAAATATAATCTCATTGTGTAATTAAAAATTCCAAAAATCAGAATTTGAATATACGTGTAATTTAAGCATACAAATAGGATAAGCATCCTTAAAAAGTCAACTTGTATATTTACTTCAAAAGTCTCAAGAACCCATACTAAAAATATTTTTTAATTAAAATAAAACTATGGCCAGTATTATCTGTTTAAATATCCACTTTCATCCAAATTTGATAATTTGGTTTAAAATATTTATTGAATAAAACTGTATTTAAGTATAAATTTCTGAATTGTTTGAATACGGTACTAACTACCTACTTATGGGAAATCTTGTTTTACATTTTTAATCATTAGCTATAGAAATTAAATATTTTATATATTTTAGATTCTGAGCAGAGAGAGGAAGCTAGTGGTTTTACAATGGTGTTTATTTATTTATTTATTTTTTTTTATATCCTGTATACAAAATTTGTACCAGAAGGAGTGCATCGATTTCAACATATAGCACTTTATCTTTTAGCAAATTGGATCAAGATAGTACGTTAAAAAGGTCATTTTTCGATTTTCTTAATAATTATATAATGACACGGGAAAAAACACCGAAAAATTACGAAAAACCGCTAAAAATAGAAATTTAACTTATAAGGCTTTGTTTATCACCATAGAAACGAATAAAAAATAATAATATTATAATATTAATTCAACTTACATGATATAATTAATAATAACAATATAAAATATCCAGACAGACAAACCGTCTCCGCTCAGAATCGTTTTTCTTATACAATGATATTATATCATTGAATTCAAGTTTAATACAATCCATTATACAATGACCCACTTGTAACATACTGTACAGAAGAGTGACATCCACTAACCCGCTTTTTTAAGAATTTAACTAATTATTATAGTTTATTAAACCAGTTATAATGTTACAATTATATCACGTTTATTGTCAAAAATAAAATAAAATAACGATAATAACTACTAACAAAAAGGAAGTAAATAACTTTATTTGGTATATTTAAATATATTTATATTTTAAATAACTATTAAATTGGTGGATATATCTTTGTTTAGGTGGGGGTGACTGATCTAGCTTCTACGATACAGCTTATTTATGGGGTATGAGCCCTAAGCCAAACCAATATTTGTGCGGATGTACTTGAGATATATAACTAATAATACGAGGTAATAGTAAGTAATACAAAATAGTATAAATTTACAACTATTTTGTTACATTTAGGAAACAAATTGCAATATAGTCAGACTAACTAGGACCACTGTTATCTAATAGTAGATAACCATGACTAGGCCCTAGTAACTAATATATTATTATGTTATAATACACATATTTTATTATTTTTGTTCATGAAAACCAAATTATTCAATTTCATAAGTATAGGTACTAAAATACTAACGATAATCGCGATGATCCAATGCAAACCTATTTAACTATTGCTTTAGATTTTAAGCAATAAATGTGGTTAGTGTTTAAATAATATTCTAAAGCCTTTTTGAATGTTAGATAAACTACAGTAAAGTTGTTGTTATGTTTTTACTATAAGTTTTTACTAATAATAATTGTAACTTTTAATATTATAATATTTGATAAGGGAAAATTCTAACCGTATAAAATAAAACTGTTAACAGCCAAACTGACTATGCAAGGTGATTGATTAAGCTTAAAACACTCATTATTTTAAAAAGTATTAATGTTTTTGAAAATATTTTTTTAAATAGTTTTTAGTTGTTAAAAAAACAACGTTTTCATTTAACAATTATATTTAAACCCATACCACTCCACGGGGGTTTACCCCGCAAAATGTTTATCCACTACTCCGCCCATCTAAACTTAAAATACTTATAACTCATAAACTACTCGTCCTAAGTTCGATTTTTATGTATCGAAATACTTAGAAAAATATTCTGCTTTGGAATATGAAATTAAAACTCTATGCTGTCATTCAAAAAAGTAAAAAACTTAAAAAATTATAAGGATAAAAAATATTTAAAAATAAAGCTTTTTAATGAAAACGTTGTTTTTTTAACAACTTGAAACTATGTAAAAAAATATTTTCAAAAACATTAATACTTTTTGAGATAATGAGTGTATTACGCTTAATGAATCACCCTGTATGTATATTGAATGGGGTCAAAAGCATGATTATAATATGCTTTATAACATTTTTATGGACGAAATTAAAATGAAAAATCCAACTCAAGATGATACCTTTACGGTGGAGTTTCAAGAATTTACTAAGAAAGAGAAAATTTAGAATGAAAAACATCGCATACGTAAAAAACGTAATAACCCTTTTCCACTACGATTTAATCGTACAAAATACAAAGTTGGTGAAAAAGTTATTACATATTATACTTACGAGTAATAAGCAGAATGTTCAATCATAAATTGTTAGTAAAAAATATCATACAAATAAAATATCAAGTGAATTATAATTTTTATTTTTGCTGTAATTTGTATACTATCGTTAAGTAGGTACCAAATAGGTTGGTTTCAATAAATATATACTCAATCGGATCTTCATCCAAAATTACAAGCTAAAATACCTACTTAAATCATTTATTGTGGTCATTGAAAGAAAAATATTAGAATATTATTTTTAAAAATATTCTGGTTTTAAAAAAAAAAAATGTTTTAATCATTAATTAACGTTGGTACTCAAGGACTCAACGTTTAATGGTCGTGACAAATTAATTTGGTTACTGTAAGATCAGAATTTTGAATGGTAAATATTAATTTAAATTTGCCACCACTTTGTCCGAATTAAATTGTTCTTAAATAAAAATAATTTTTTGTCTGTTAAATGCATGGTTTAATAATATGTAATTTATAATATAATATTATACATTTTATAGAACTTGATTATAATACACTACATTGATTTTGTTTTCTCTGGCCCACGCGCAACATAGATAATGTATGTACCTATAGAAGAACCAACCCAGCTGGTCATTTACCCAGCTGGTAACCGCCGCTCCGTCTACGCGAATATTTACTTAACACGGTGGCCGAAAATCTCTGTCTCCGCCCGTACGTCGTACCGACCGTTTCTACGTACAAATTATTATTTTTCAATTTTTATAACAACTATTAACCAGTGCTTTAAGTGAAAACTATCATTATTTTTTTATATATAATCTGTAGCGCCAGAAGGGCCTATTTCCGAATCGTTTATATATTATTTCCATCATTGTAAGCCATAAAGGCAGCATATTATTATATTATTGTTAATTATATCATTGTCGCGCATTTATTTTATATTATTATAGCATAGGATCAGCTGGCCAGTCTGCGCTCCACAAACCACTATGGGAGGCCTTCAAAACATTGAATGTCAAACAATTGAACGTCAAAATCTTGAACGTCAAAATATTGAACGATAAAATCTTGAACATAAATTTATGTCAACATCTTGAACATTCAAAAACTTGAACATCAAAACCTTGAACGTCGAAATCTTGAACAAAAAAATATTTTTCGTCAAACCTTTGAACCTCAAAATCTTGAACAAAAAAATAATTTCCATCAAGGCTCTGAAGTCAAAATCTTGAACAACAATATTGTTACCGTCAAAACCTTGGACATTAATACTTTTTATCGCAATTTGTTTTTCTCGTGCTGTTCTAGATATCACATTAATTTTAATTGTAAAATATTATATTTGCAATATTGGAAATTAAATACTATTCCTTGTAAAATATATTCATTGGTTGTTCTATTTTTATAATCAAAGACAATATTTTTCAAACGCTGTACTTTGTCGAACTATTTTTTTTCGCAGGTGGACATTCGCCAGCTGTATATTGTTTAAGTGTGCGGAAGGGAACACATGTCTCCAGCCCCACAAATAGCTAATAATTGGTTTCCCTGAATTTTTTTTATTCCTTTAATTAGTACGTCATTCCTATGAATTCCTATGATACGTTTCGGAATTAATACGAAAGAATTGAGGCCGCAAATCGATTCTCGTGGGTTAAGCTGGGAACACGTGTCTCCAGCCCCACCCATGGCTAATAATTGGTTTCCCTGAATTTTTTATATTCTTATAATTAGTACGTCATTCCTATGAATTCCTATGATAGGTTTCGGAATTCCTACGAAAGAATTCCGGCCGCAAATAAACGATTCCCGTGGGTGGGGCTGGGAACACGTGTCTCCAGCCCCACAAATGGCTAATAATTGGATTCCCTGAATTTTTTTTATTCCTATAATTAGTACGTCATTCTTATGAATTCCTATGATAGGTTTCGGAATTCCTACGAAAGAATTCCGGCCGCAAATAAACGATTCCCGTGGGTGGGGTTGGGAACACGTGTCTCCAGCCCCACCCATGGCTAATAATTGGTTTTCCTGAATTTTTTTTATTCCTTTAATTAGTACGTCATTCCTATGAATTCCTATGATACGTTTCGGAATTAATACGAAAGAATTGAGGCCGCAAATAAACGATTCCCGTGGGTTAAGCTGGGAACACGTGTCTCCAGCCCCACCCATGGCTAATAATTGGTTTCCCTGAATTTTTTATATTCCTATAATTAGTGCGTCAATCCTATGAGTTCCTATGATAGGTTTCGGAATTCCTACGAAAGAATTCCGGCCGAAAATAAAAGATTCCTGTGGATGGGGCTGGGAACATGTGTCTCCAGCCCCACCAATGGCTAATAATTGGTTTCCTTGAATTTTTTTTATTCCTATAATTAGTACGTCAATCCTATGAATTCCTATGATAGATTTCGGAATTAATAAGAAAGAATTCTGGCCGCAAATTAACGATTCCCGTGGCTAGGGCTGGGAACACGTGTCTCCAGCCCCACCCATGGCTAATAATTGGTTTTCTTGAATTTTTTTTATTCCTATAATTAGTGCGTCAATCCTATGAGTTCCTATTATAGGTTTCGGAATTCCTACGAAAGAATTCCGGCCGAAAATAAAAGATTCCGGTGGATGGGGCTGGGAACATGTGTCTCCAGCCCCACCCATGGCTAATAATTGGTTTCCATGAATTTTTTTTATTCCTTTAATTAGAACGTCTATCCTATGATTTCCTATGATAGGTTTCGGAATTCCTACGAAAGAATTCCGGCCGCAAATAAACGATTCCGGTCTGTTGAGCTGGGAAGAAGTGTCTCCAGCCCCAACCATGGCTAATAATTGGTTTTCCTGAATTTTTTTTATTCCTATAATTTGTGCGTCATTCCTATGGGTTCCTATGATAGGTTTCGGAATTAATACGAAAGAATTGAGGCCGCAAAGAAACGATTCTCGTGGGTTAAGCTGGGAAGACGTGTCTCCAGCCCCACCCATGACTAATAATTGGTTTCCCTGAATTTTTTTTATTCCTATAATAAGTACGTCATTCCTATGAATTCCTATGATGGGTTTCGGAATTTCCTACGAAAGAATTCCGGCCGCAAATAAAGGATTCCCGTGGGTGCGGCTGGGAACACGTGTCTCCAGCACCACCCATGGATAATAACTGGTTTCCATGAATTTTTTTTATTCCTATAATTGGTGCGTCATTCCTATGAGTTCCTATGATAGGTTTCAGAATTCCTACGAAAGAATTCCGCAAGCAAATAAACGATTCCCGTGGGTGCGGCTGGGAACACGTGTCTCCAGCCCCACCCATGGCCAATTATTTGGTTTCCCTGAATTTTTTTTATTCCTATAATGAGAACGTCATTCCTATGATTTCCTATGATAGGTTTTGGAATTCCTACGAAAGAATTCCGGCCGCAAATAAACGATTCCGGTCTGTGGAGCTGGGAAGAAGTGTCTCCAGCCCCACCCATTTCTAATAATTGGTTTTCCTGAATTTTTTTTATTCCTTTAATTAGTAAGTCATTCATATGAATTCCTATGATACGTTTCGGAATTAATACGAAAAAATTGAAGCCGCAAATAAACGATTCTCGTGGGTGGGGTTGGGAACACGTGTCTCCAGCCCCACCCATGGCTAATAATTGGTTTTCCTGAATTTTTTTTATTCCTTTAATTAGTACGTCATTCCTATGAATTCCTATGATACGTTTCGGAATTAATACGAAAGAATTGAGGCCGCAAATAAACGATTCTCGTGGGTTAAGCTGGGAACACGTGTCTCCAGCCCCACCCATGACTAATAATTGGTTTCCCTGAATTTTTTTTATTCCTATAATAAGTACGTCATTCCTATGAGTTCCTATGATAGGTTTTGGAATTCCTACGAAAGAATTAAGGCCGCAAATAAACGATTCCGGTCTGTGGAGCTGGGAAGAAGTGTCTCCAGCCTCACCCATTTCTAATAATTGGTTTTCCTGAATTTTTTTTATTCCTTTAATTAGTACGTCATTCATATGAATTCCTATGATACGTTTCGGAATTAATACGAAAGAATTGAAGCCGCAAATAAACGATTCTCGTGGGTTAAGCTGGGAACACGTGTCTCCAGCCCAACCCATGACTAATAATTGGTTTCCCTGAATTTTTTTTATTGCTATAATAAGTACGTCATTCCTATGAATTCCTATGATGGTCTTCGGAATTCCTACGAAAGAAATCCAGCCGCAAATAAACGATTCAAGTGGGTGCAGCTGGGAACACGTGTCTCCAGCCCCACCCATGGCTAATAACTGGTTTCCATGAATTTTTTTTATTCCTATAATTAGAACGTCATTCCTATGATTTCCTATGATAGGTTTCGGAATTCCTACGAAAGAATTCCGGCCGCAAATAAACGATTCCGGTCTGTGGAGCTGGGAAGAAGTGTCTCCAGCCCCACCCATGGCTAATAATTGGTTTTCCTGAATTTTTTTTTATTCCTATAATTAGTACGTCATTCATATGAATTCCTATGATACGTTTCGGAATTAATACGAAAGAATTCTGGCCGCAAATTAACGATTCCCGTGGCTAGGGCTGGGAACACGTGTCTCCAGCCCCACCAATGGCTAATAATTGGTTTCCTTGAATTATTTTTATTCCTATAATTAGTACGTCAATCCTATGAATTCCTATGATAGATTTCGGAATTAATAAGAAAGAATTCTGGCCGCAAATTAACGATTCCCGTGGCTAGGGCTGGGAACACGTGTCTCCAGCCCCACCCATGGCCAATTATTTGGTTTCCCTGAATTTTTTTATTCCTATAATTAGTGCGTCATTCCTATGATTTCCTATGATACGTTTCGGAATTAATACGAAAAAATTGAAGCCGCAAATAAACGATTCTCGTGGGTGGGGTTGGGAACACGTGTCTCCAGCCCCACCCATGGCTAATAATTGGTTTTCCTGAATTTTTTTTATTCCTTTAATTAGTACGTCATTCCTATGAATTCCTATGATACGTTTCGGAATTAATACGAAAGAATTGAGGCCGCAAATAAACGATTCTCGTGGGTTAAGCTGGGAACACGTGTCTCAAGCCCCACCCATGACTAATAATTGGTTTCCCTGAATTTTTTTATTCCTATAATAAGTACGTCATTCCTATGAGTTCCTATGATAGGTTTTGGAATTCCTACGAAAGAATTCCGGCCGCAAATAAACGATTCCTGTGGATGGGGCTGGGAACATGTGTCTCCAGCCCCACCAATGGCTAATAATTGGTTTCCTTGAATTTTTTTTATTCCTATAATAAGTACGTCATTCCTATGAGTTCCTATGATAGGTTTTGGAATTCCTACGAAAGAATTAAGGCCGCAAATAAACGATTCCGGTCTGTGGAGCTGGGAAGAAGTGTCTCCAGCCTCACCCATTTCTAATAATTGGTTTTCCTGAATTTTTTTATTCCTTTAATTAGTACGTCATTCATATGAATTCCTATGATACGTTTCGGAATTAATACGAAAGAATTGAAGCCGCAAATAAACGATTCTCGTGGGTTAAGCTGGGAACACGTGTCTCCAGCCCAACCCATGACTAATAATTGGTTTCCCTGAATTTTTTTTATTGCTATAATAAGTACGTCATTCCTATGAATTCCTATGATGGTCTTCGGAATTCCTACGAAAGAAATCCAGCCGCAAATAAACGATTCAAGTGGGTGCAGCTGGGAACACGTGTCTCCAGCCCCACCCATGGCTAATAATTAGTTTCCCTGAAATTTTTTTATTCTTATAATTAGTGCGTCAATTATATGAGTTCCTATGATAGGTTTCGGAATTCCTACGAAAGAATTCCGGCCGAAAATAAAAGATTCCTGTGGATAGGGCTGGGAACTTGTGTCTCCAGCCCCACCAATGGCTAATAATTGGTTTCCTTGAATTTTTTTTATTCCTATAATTAGTACGTCAATCCTATGAATTCCTATGATAGATTTCAGAATTAATAAGAAAGAATTCTGGCCGCAAATTAACGATTCCCGTGGCTAGGGCTGGGAACACGTGTCTCCAGCCTCACCCATGGCCAATTATTTGGTTTCCCTGAATTTTTTTATTCCTATAATTAGTGCGTCATTCCTATGAGTTCCTATGATAGGTTTTGGAATTCCTACGAAAGAATTCCGGCCGCAAATAAACGATTCCGGTCTGTGGAGCTGGGAAGAAGTGTCTCCAGCCTCACCCATTTCTAATAATTGGTTTTCCTGAATTTTTTTATTCCTTTAATTAGTACGTCATTCATATGAATTCCTATGATACGTTTCGGAATTAATACGAAAGAATTGAAGCCGCAAATAAACGATTCTCGTGGGTTAAGCTGGGAACACGTGTCTCCAGCCCAACCCATGACTAATAATTGGTTTCCCTGAATTTTTTTTATTGCTATAATAAGTACGTCATTCCTATGAATTCCTATGATGGTCTTCGGAATTCCTACGAAAGAATTCCAGCCGCAAATAAACGATTCAAGTGGGTGCAGCTGGGAACACGTGTCTCCAGCCCCACCCATGGCTAATAATTGGTTTCCCTGAAATTTTTTTATTCCTATAATTAGTGCGTCAATCCTATGAGTTCCTATGATAGGTTTTGGAATTCCTACGAAAGAATTCCGGCCGCAAATAAAGGATTCCTGTGGGTGCGGCTGGGAACACGTGTATCCAGCGCCACCCATGGCTAATAACTGGTTTCCATGAATTTTTTTTATTCCTATAATTAGTGCGTCATTCCTATGAGTTCCTATGATAGGTTTCGGACTTCCTACGAAAGAATTCCGGCCGAAAATAAAAGATTCCGGTGGATAAGGCTGGGAACATGTGTCTCCAGCCCCACCCATGGCTAATAATTGGTTTCCCTGAATTTTTTATATTCTTATAATTAGTGCGTCAATTATATGAGTTCCTATGATAGGTTTCGGAATTCCTACGAAAGAATTCCGGCCGAAAATAAAAGATTCCTGTGGATAGGGCTGGGAACTTGTGTCTCCAGCCCCACCAATGGCTAATAATTGGTTTCCTTGAATTTTTTTTATTCCTATAATTAGTACGTCAATCCTAAGAATTCCTATGATAGATTTCAGAATTAATAAGAAAGAATTCTGGCCGCAAATTAACGATTCCCGTGGCTAGGGCTGGGAACACGTGTCTCCAGCCCCACCCATGGCTGATAATTGGTTTCCCTTTTTTTTTTTTATTCCTATAATTAGTGCGCTCATAGGAATGCCTATGATACGTTTCGGAATTAATACGAAAAAATTGAAGCCGCAAATAAACGATTCTCGTGGGTGGGGTTGGGAACACGTGTCTCCAGCCCCACCCATGGCTAATAATTGGTTTTCCTGAATTTTTTTTATTCCTTTAATTAGTACGTCATTCCTATGAATTCCTATGATACGTTTCGGAATTAATACGAAAGAATTGAGGCCGCAAATAAACGATTCTCGTGGGTTAAGCTGGGAACACGTGTCTCCAGCCCCACCCATGGCTAATTATTGGTTTTCCTGAATTTTTTTTATTCCTTTAATTAGTACGTCATTCATATGAATTCCTATGATACGTTTCGGAATTAATACGAAAGAATTCCGGCCGAAAATAAAAGATTCCAGTGGATAAGGCTGGGAACATGTGTCTCCAGCCCAACCATGGCTAATAATAGGTTTCCCTGAATTTTTTTTATTCCTTTAATTAGTACGTCATTCCTATGAATTCCTATGATACGTTTCGGAATTAATACGAAAGAATTGAGGCCGCAAATAAACGATTCTCGTGGGTTAAGCTGGGAACACGTGTCTCCAGCCCCACCCATGGCTAATAATTGGTTTTCTTGAATTTTTTTTATTCCTATAATTAGTACGTCATTCCTATGAATTCCTATGATACGTTTCGGAATTATTACGAAAGAATTGAGGCCGCAAATAAACGATTCCCGTGGGTTAAGCTGGGAACACGTGTCTCCAGCCCCACCCATGGCTAATAACTGGTTTCCATGAATTTTTTTTATTCCTATAATTAGAACGTCATTCCTATGATTTCCTATGATAGGTTTCGGAATTCCTACGAATGAATTCCGGCCGCAAATAAACGATTCCGGTTGTGGAGCTGGGAAGAAGTGTCTCCAGCCCCACCCATGGCTAATAATTGGTTTCCATGAATTTTTTTTATTCCTTTAATTAGAACGTTATTCCTATGATTTCCTATGATAGGTTTTGGAATTCCTACGAAAGAATTAAGGCCGCAAATAAACGATTCTCGTGGGTGGGGTTGGGAACACGTGTCTCCAGCCCCACCCATGGCTAATAATTGGTTTTCTTGAATTTTTTTTATTCCTTTAATTAGTACGTCATTCCTATGAATTCCTATGATACGTTTCGGAATTAATACGAAAGAATTGAGGCCGCAAATAAACGATTCTCGTGGGTTAAGCTGGGAACACGTGTCTCCAGCCCCACCCATGACTAATAATTGGTTTCCCTGAATTTTTTTATTCCTATAATAAGTACGTCATTCCTATGAGTTCCTATGATAGGTTTTGGAATTCCTACGAAAGAATTCCGGCCGCAAATAAACGATTCCTGTGGATGGGGCTGGGAACATGTGTCTCCAGCCCCACCAATGGCTAATAATTGGTTTCCTTGAATTTTTTTTATTCCTATAATAAGTACGTCATTCCTATGAGTTCCTATGATAGGTTTTGGAATTCCTACGAAAGAATTAAGGCCGCAAATAAACGATTCCGGTCTGTGGAGCTGGGAACACGTGTCTTCAGCCCCACCCATGACTAATAATTGGTTTCCCTGAATTTTTTTTATTCCTTTAATTAGTACGTCATTCCTATGAATTCCTATAATTAGTACGTCATTCCTATGAATTCCTATGATAGGTTTCAGAATTCCTACGAAAGAATTCCGGCCGCAAATAAACGATTCTCGTGGGTTAAGCTGGGAACACGTGTCTCCAGCCCCACCCATGGCTAATAATTGGATTCCCTGAATTTTTTTTATTCCTATAAATAGTACGTCATTCTTATGAATTCCTATGATAGGTTTCGGAATTCCTACGAAAGAATTCCGGCCGCAAATAAACGATTCCCGTTGGTGCGGCTGGGAACACGTGTCTCCAGCGCCACCCATGGCTAATAACTGGTTTCCCTGAATTTTTTTTATTCCTATAATTAGTGCGTCATTCCTATGAGTTCCTATGATAGGTTTCGGAATTTCTACGAAAGAATTCCAGCCGCAAATAAACGATTCAAGTGGGTGCAGCTGGGAACACGTGTCTCCAGCCCCACCCATGGCTAATAATTGGTTTCCCTGAAATTTTTTTATTCCTATAATTAGTGCGTCATTCCTATGATTTCCTATGATACGTTTCGGAATTAATACGAAAAAATTGAAGCCGCAAATAAACGATTCTCGTGGGTGGGGTTGGGAACACGTGTCTCCAGCCCCACCCATGGCCAATTATTTGGTTTCCCTGAATTTTTTTATTCCTATAATTAGTGCGTCATTCCTATGATTTCCTATGATACGTTTCGGAATTAATACGAAAAAATTGAAGCCGCAAATAAACGATTCTCGTGGGTGGGGTTGGGAACACGTGTCTCCAGCCCCACCCATGGCTAATAATTGGTTTTCCTGAATTTTTTTTATTCCTTTAATTAGTACGTCATTCCTATGAATTCCTATGATACGTTTCGGAATTAATACGAAAGAATTGAGGCCGCAAATAAACGATTCTCGTGGGTTAAGCTGGGAACACGTGTCTCCAGCCCCACCCATGACTAATAATTGGTTTCCCTGAATTTTTTTTATTCCTATAATAAGTACGTCATTCCTATGAGTTCCTATGATAGGTTTTGGAATTCCTACGAAAGAATTCCGGCCGCAAATAAACGATTCCTGTGGATGGGGCTGGGAACATGTGTCTCCAGCCCCACCAATGGCTAATAATTGGTTTCCTTGAATTTTTTTTATTCCTATAATAAGTACGTCATTCCTATGAGTTCCTATGATAGGTTTTGGAATTCCTACGAAAGAATTAAGGCCGCAAATAAACGATTCCGGTCTGTGGAGCTGGGAACACGTGTCTTCAGCCCCACCCATGACTAATAATTGGTTTCCCTGAATTTTTTTTATTCCTTTAATTAGTACGTCATTCCTATGAATTCCTATAATTAGTACGTCATTCCTATGAATTCCTATGATAGGTTTCAGAATTCCTACGAAAGAATTCCGGCCGCAAATAAACGATTCTCGTGGGTTAAGCTGGGAACACGTGTCTCCAGCCCCACCCATGGCTAATAATTGGATTCCCTGAATTTTTTTTATTCCTATAAATAGTACGTCATTCTTATGAATTCCTATGATAGGTTTCGGAATTCCTACGAAAGAATTCCGGCCGCAAATAAACGATTCCCGTTGGTGCGGCTGGGAACACGTGTCTCCAGCGCCACCCATGGCTAATAACTGGTTTCCCTGAATTTTTTTTATTCCTATAATTAGTGCGTCATTCCTATGAGTTCCTATGATAGGTTTCGGAATTTCTACGAAAGAATTCCGCCCGCAAATAAAAGATTCCGGTGGATGGGGCTGGGAACATGTGTCTCCAGCCCCACCCATGGCTAATAATTGGTTTCCCTGAATTTTTTTTATTCCTATAATTAGTGCGTCAATCCTATGAGTTCCTACGATAGGTTTCGGAATTCCTACGAAAGAATTCCGGCCGCAAATAAACGATTCTCGTGGGTTAAGCTGGGAACATGTGCCTCCAGCCCCACCCATGGCTAATAATTGGTTTTCCTGAATTTTTTTTATTCCTTTAATTAGTACGTCATTCATATGAATTCCTATGATAAGTTTCGGAATTAATACGAAAGAATTGAAGCCGCAAATAAACGATTCTCGTGGGTTAAGCTGGGAACACGTGTCTCCAGCCCCACCCATGGCTAATAATTGGATTCCCTGAATTTTTTTTATTCCTATAAATAGTACGTCATTCTTATGAATTCCTATGATAGGTTTCGGAATTCCTACGAAAGAATTCCGGCCGCAAATACACGATTCCCGTTGGTGCGGCTGGGAACACGTGTCTCCAGCGCCACCCATGGCCAATTATTTGGTTTCCCTGAATTTTTTTATTCCTATAATTAGTGCGTCATTCCTATGATTTCCTATGATACGTTTCGGAATTAATACGAAAAAATTGAAGCCGCAAATAAACGATTCTCGTGGGTGGGGTTGGGAACACGTGTCTCCAGCCCCACCCATGGCTAATAATTGGTTTTCCTGAATTTTTTTTATTCCTTTAATTAGTACGTCATTCCTATGAATTCCTATGATACGTTTCGGAATTAATACGAAAGAATTGAGGCCGCAAATAAACGATTCTCGTGGGTTAAGCTGGGAACACGTGTCTCCAGCCCCACCCATGACTAATAATTGGTTTCCCTGAATTTTTTTTATTCCTATAATAAGTACGTCATTCCTATGAGTTCCTATGATAGGTTTTGGAATTCCTACGAAAGAATTCCGGCCGCAAATAAACGATTCCTGTGGATGGGGCTGGGAACATGTGTCTCCAGCCCCACCAATGGCTAATAATTGGTTTTCCTGAATTTTTTTATTCCTATAATAAGTACGTCATTCCTATGAGTTCCTATGATAGGTTTTGGAATTCCTACGAAAGAATTAAGGCCGCAAATAAACGATTCCGGTCTGTGGAGCTGGGAACACGTGTCTTCAGCCCCACCCATGACTAATAATTGGTTTCCCTGATTTTTTTTATTCCTTTAATTAGTACGTCATTCCTATGAATTCCTATAATTAGTACGTCATTCCTATGAATTCCTATGATAGGTTTCAGAATTCCTACGAAAGAATTCCGGCCGCAAATAACGATTCTCGTGGGTTAAGCTGGGAACACGTGTCTCCAGCCCCACCCATGGCTAATAATTGGATTCCCTGAATTTTTTTTATTCCTATAAATAGTACGTCATTCTTATGAATTCCTATGATAGGTTTCGGAATTCCTACGAAAGAATTCCGGCCGCAAATAAACGATTCCCGTTGGTGCGGCTGGGAACACGTGTCTCCAGCGCCACCCATGGCTAATAACTGGTTTCCCTGAATTTTTTTTTATTCCTATAATTAGTGCGTCATTCCTATGAGTTCCTATGATAGGTTTCGGAATTTCTACGAAAGAATTCCGCCCGCAAATAAAAGATTCCGGTGGATGGGCTGGGAACATGTGTCTCCAGCCCCACCCATGGGCTAATAATTGGTTTCCCTGGAATTTTTTGTTATTCCTATAATTAGTGCGTCAATCCTATGAGTTCCTACGATAGGTTTCGGAATTCCTACGAAAGAATTCCGGCCGCAAATAAACGATTCTCGTGGGTTAAGCTGGGAACATGTGCCTCCAGCCCCACCCATGGCTAATAAGTGGTTTTCCTGAATTTTTTTTATTCCTTTAATTAGTACGTCAT